TGAAAAAACTGGATTTTGGTGGGAAATAAAAGTGATCACAGATTTCGCTTGTTTTGTCTCTATCTCTTACCGTTTCCGAGAAAAATGGACTTTTATGTTTTCACTCAAAAAACTGGATTTTGGTGGGAAATAAAAGTGATCACAGATTTCGCTTGTTTTGTCTCTATCTCTTACCGTTTCCAAGAAAAATGGACTTTTATGTTTTCACTCAAAAAACTGGATTTTTACTCAAAAAACTGAATTTTGGTGGGAAATAAAAGTGATCACAGATTTCGCTTGTTTTGTCTCTATCTCTTACCGTTTCCGAGAAAAATGGAATTTTGTGTTTTCACTGAAAAAAACTGGATTTTGGTGGGAAATAAAAGTGATCACAGACTACGTTTGTTTTGTCTCTATCTCTTACCGTTTCCGAGAAAAATGGATTTTTATGTTTTCAATCAAAAAACTGGATTTTGGTGGGAAATAAAAGTGATCACAGATTTCGCTTGTTTTGTCTCTATCTCTTACCGTTTCCAAGAAAAATGGACTTTTATGTTTTCACTCAAAAAACTGGATTTTTACTCAAAAAACTGGATCACAAAAAGTGATCACAGATTTCGCTTGTTTTGTCTCTATCTCTTACCGTTTCCGAGAAAAATGGACTTTTATGTTTTCATTAAAAAAACTGGATTTTTACTCAAAAAACTGGGTTTTGGTGGGAAATAAAAGTGATCACAGATTTCGCTTGTTTTGTCTCTATCTCTTACCGCTTCCGAGAAAAATGGACTTTTATGTTTTCACTCAAAAAACTAGATTTTGATGGGAAATAAAAGTGATCACAGATTACGTTTGTTTTGTCTCTATCTCTTACCATTTCCGAGAAAAATGGTCTTTTATATGTTTTCACTCAAAAAACTGGATTTTGGTGGGAAATAAAAGTGATCACAGATTTCGCTTGTTTTGTCTCTATCTCTTACCGTTTCCGAGAAAAATGGACTTTTATGTTTTCATTAAAAAAACTGGATTTTTACTCAAAAAACTGGGTTTTGGTGGGAAATAAAAGTGATCACAGATTTCGCTTGTTTTGTCTCTATCTCTTACCGCTTCCAAGAAAACTGGACTTTTATGTTTTCACTCAAAAAACTGGATTTTGGTGGGAAATGAAGGTGATCACAGATTACGCTTGTTTTGTCTCTATCTCTTACCGTTTCCGAGAAAAATGGACTTTTGTGTTTTTACTCTAAAAACTGGATTTGTACTCAAAAAACTGGATTTGTACTGAAAAAACTGGATTTTGGTGGGAAATAAAAGTGATCACAGATTTCGCTTGTTTTGTCTCTATCTCTTACCGTTTCCGAGAAAAATGGACTTTTATGTTTTCACTCAAAAAACTGGATTTTGGTGGGAAATAAAGGTGATCACAGATTACGCTTGTTTTGTCTCTATCTCTTACCGTTTCCGAGAAAAATGGACATTTGTGTTTTCACTCTAAAAACTGGATTTTGGTGGCAAATAAAAGTGATCACAGATTTCGCTTGTTTTGTCTCTATCTCTTACCGTTTCCGAGAAAAATGGACCTTTATGTTTTCACTCAAAAAACTGGATTTTGGTGGGAAATAAAAGTGATCACAGATTACGTTTGTTTTGTCTCTATCTCTTACCGTTTCCGAGAAAAATGGACTTTTATATGTTTTCACTCAAAAAACTGAATTTTGATGGGAAATGAAAGTGATCACAGATTTCGCTTGTTTTGTCTCTATCTCTTACCGTTTCCGAGAAAAATGGACTTTTATGTTTTCATTAAAAAAACTGGATTTTTACTCAAAAAACTGGGTTTTGGTGGGAAATAAAAGTGATCACAGATTTCGCTTGTTTTGTCTCTATCTCTTACCGTTTCCGAGAAAAATGGACCTTTATGTTTTCACTCAAAAAACTGGATTTTGGTGGGAAATAAAAGTGATCACAGATTACGTTTGTTTTGTCTCTATCTCTTACCGTTTCCGAGAAAAATGGACTTTTATATGTTTTCACTCAAAAAACTGAATTTTGATGGGAAATGAAAGTGATCACAGATTTCGCTTGTTTTGTCTCTATCTCTTACCGTTTCCGAGAAAAATGGACCTTTATGTTTTCACTCAAAAAACTGGATTTTGGTGGGAAATAAAAGTGATCACAGATTACGTTTGTTTTGTCTCTATCTCTTACCGTTTCCGAGAAAAATGGACTTTTATATGTTTTCACTCAAAAAACTGAATTTTGATGGGAAATGAAAGTGATCACAGATTTCGCTTGTTTTGTCTCTATCTCTTACCGTTTCCGAGAAAAATGGACTTTTGTGTTTTCACTCTAAAAACTGGATTTGTACTCAAAAAACTGGATTTGTACTCAAAAAACTGGATTTTGGTGGGAAATAAAAGTGATCACAGAATTCGCTTGTTTTGTCTCTACCGTTTCCGAGAAAAAAGGACTTTTATGTTTTCACTCAAAAAACTGGATTTTGGTGGGAAATATAAGTGATCACAGATTTCGCTTGTTTTGTCTCTATCTCTTACCGTTTCCAAGAAAAATGGACTTTTATGTTTTCACTCAAAAAACTGGATTTTTACTCAAAAAACTGAATTTTGGTGGGAAATAAAAGTGATCACAGATTTCGCTTGTTTTGTCTCTATCACTTACCGTTTCCGAGAAAAATGGAATTTTGTGTTTTCACTGAAAAAACTGGATCACAGACTACGTTTGTTTTGTCTCTATCTCTTACCGTTTCCATGAAAAATGGACTTTTATGTTTTCACTCAAAAAACTGGATTTGTACTCAAAAAACTGGATTTTGGTGGGAAATAAAAGTGATCACAGATTTCGCTTGTTTTGTCTCTATCTCTTACCGTTTCCGAGAAAAATGGACTCTTATGTTTTCACTCAAAAAACTGGATTTTGGTGGGAAATAAAAGTCATCACAGATTTCGCTTGTTTTGTCTCTATCTCTTACCGTTTCCAAGAAAAATGGACTTTTATGTTTTCACTCAAAAAACTGGATTTTGGTGGGAAATAAAAGTGATCACAGATTTCGCTTGTTTTGTCTCTATCTCTTACCGTTTCCGAGAAAAATGGTCTTTTATGTTTCACTCAAAAAACTGGATTTTTACTCAAAAAACTGGATTTTGGTGGGAAATAAAAGTGATCACAGATTTCGCTTGTTTTGTCTGTATCTCTTACCGTTTCCAAGAAAAATGGACTTTTATGTTTTCACTCAAAAAACTGGATTTCTACTCAAAATACTGGATTTTTGGGAAATAAAAGTGATCACAGATTTCGCTTGTTTTGTCTCTATCTCTTACCGTTTCCAAGAAAACTGGTCTTTTATGTTTCACTCAAAAAACTGGATTTTTACTCAAAAAACTGGATTTTGGTGGGAAATAAAAGTGATCACAGATTTCGCTTGTTTTGTCTGTATCTCTTACCGTTTTCGAGAAAAATGGACTTTTATGTTTTCACTCAAAAAACTGGATTTTGGTGGGAAATAAAAGTGATCACAGATTTCGCTTGTTTTGTCTCTTTCTCTTACCGTTTCCCATAAAAATGGACTTTTATGATTTCAATCAAGAAACTGGGTTTTGGTGGGAAATAAAAGTGATCACAGATTTCGCTTGTTTTATCTCTATCTCTTACCGTTTCCAAGAAAAATGGACTTTTATGTTTTCACTCAAAAAACTGGATTTTTACTCAAAAAACTGGGCTTTGGTGGGAAATAAAAGTGATCACAGATTTCGCTTGTTTTGTCTCTATCTCTTACCGTTTCCGAGAAAAATGGACTTTTATGTTTTCACCCAAAAAACTGGATTTTGGTGGGAAATAAAAGTGATCACAGATTTCGTTTGTTTTGTCTCTATCTCTTACCGTTTCCGAGAAAAATGGACTTTTATATGTTTTCACTAAAAAACTGGATTTATGGGAAATGAAAGTGATCACAGATTTCGCTTGTTTTGTCTCTATTTCTTACCGTTTCCGATAAAACTGGACTTTTATGTTTTCACTCAAAAAAGTGGATGTTTTCACTCAAAAAACTGGATTTTGGTGGGAAATAAAAGGTTTTTTGTCTCTATCTCTTACCGTTTCCGAGAAAAATGGACTTTTATGTTTTCACTCAAAAAACTGGGCTTTGGTGGGAAATAAAAGTGATCACAGATTTCGCTTGTTTTGTCTCTATCTCTTACCGTTTCCGAGAAAAATGGACTTTTATGTTTTCACCCAAAAAACTGGATTTTGGTGAAAAATAAAAGTGATCACAGAATTTGCTTGTTTTGTCTCTGTCTCTTACCGTTTCCGAGAAAAATGGACTTTTATGTTTTCATTCAAAAAACTGGGTTTTGGTGGAAAATAAAAGTGATCACAGATTTCGTTTGTTTTGTCTCTATCTCTTACCGTTTCCGAGAAAAATGGACCTTTATGTTTTCATTCAAAAAACTGGGTTTTGGTGGAAAATAAAAGTGATCACAGATTTCGTTTGTTTTGTCTCTATCTCTTACCGTTTCCGAGAATAATGGACCTTTATGTTTTCATTCAAAAAACTGGGTTTTGGTGGAAAATAAAAGTGATCACAGATTTCGTTTGTTTTGTCTCTATCTCTTACCGTTTCCGAGAATAATGGACTTTTATGTTTTCACTCAAAAAACTGGGTTTTTATGGGAAATGAAAGTGATCACAGATTTCGCTTGTTTTGTCTCTATCTCTTACCGTTTGCGAGAAAAATGGACTTTTATGTTTTCACTCAAAAAACTGGATTTTTACTCAAAAAACTGGATTTTGGTGGGAAATGAAAGTGATCACAGATTTAGCTTGTTTTGTCTCTATCTCTTACCGTTTCCGAGAAAAATGGACTTTTATGTTTTCACTCAAAAAACTGGATTTTGGTGGGAAATAAAAGCGATCACTTTTGAGTTTTTCCATAAAAATAACAAATCGTGTGACTATTTTTTGTTTCTATATTTATTTTATTTTAATTTACTTAAATTCATAATGCATTGTTTTTTTTTTGTTTGTTTTATTTGAAGGGATATTGAAGTTTTGTGTATTTATGCATGTTGGGTTTCTTCTTTTATTCATTCCTGTTGTCGCTTAATTAGTATTTATTTGATTTTAGTTGCTTAGTGATTTGATTATGTATGTGTAAGTGATTTTTAAGTACATATGTGTATGTGTTTGTGTGGGAGTCTGTTAATTATTTCCATTTTTAAGCGTTTGGCAGGGTCCATTGTACCATACACTTTGTTCGGTATTACCACACACTGCATTTCTCGATGGGATTCATGGGTGAACCCAATTCACAATGATATGCTTCGGCAAAGTCTTTTGAATTTGAGAGTGGACCTAGAACTCTAATTGAACCAGGTGAATGTACAGAGGAACGTATTTTTGTAAGAGCATCTTCGGGACGCATGGAACCACACCAGATTTGGGCATAATTTAAAAAGAATAGCTGATCGTGTGTTAGATTAAGGCCGGGTAAACGTTGTTCGGGTCCGTGGCGTTGTACCCATTTTTTGTAGGCCTTTGAAGAAAAGAAATTTAGTTACAGAATCATGTTCAATATTACTCTATAAAAACTCACCCTAAAAGCTTGTTTTAAACCGCCATTATCTGCTATGTTTTCACCCTGGGTCATGCGTCCGTTCATATACAAGCCCACTTCATCGATTTTATATTTGGAATATTGATCTATAATACATTGGGTACGTTCACGAAAGGCTTCTATGGTGGCATTGTTCCACCATTGCATCATATTGCCGTCCTTATCAAATTGGCGTCCTTTTAAAGGAACAAATATAAACATTTGCAATACATTGTCATTCCTTTACAATTTACCTTTGTCGTCAAAACCATGGGTAATTTCATGACCTATTACCACTCCTATGCCGCCATAATTTAAAGATTTAGGAAAATGTTGACTATAAAACAGGGGTTGTAAAATGCCTGCAGGAAACACTAAGAAATCCAGAAAAGTTGAAAATCAGTGTTTAAGTAAATTGGAAAATTATATATATAAATCATTACCTATGTCGTTTTTATTAGGATTATAGAAAGCATTAACCACTGCCGGCTCTGTAGTCCATTTTTCTTTATCCACTGGTTGTCTTAAGAGTTGCATATTTTTCTCCGACTCCCATTTTAAAATACTCAAGACATTTTCCATAAAATTGTCAGGAACTATGGTCAACTGTTAAGGAATGCAAATGAAAACAAATAGAGTTATTTTATAAGAAATTTAAACTTACATTTGCAAACTCCTTTTCCAATTCCTTGGCATCTGTTAAGATCTCCGGATAACCTATGCGCTCATTCATGGTATCTGCCTTCTCTTTGGCTACCGCCCGTGTTTCATCATCCATCCAATGATTTTCACTGAGTAGTTCATTGAAAGCCTCTCTTATCGTATGAATCATTTCCAAAGCTGTATCTTTGCTATTCTGATTGAAATTATCTCTTATGAACAGAGTACCCACAGCCATGCCCAGTTTTTTATTTGTCCAATCCACACACTGTGACCAACGCACTCTTTCCGTTTGTATACCCAACAAAATTTTACGAAACTCTACCCTTTCCTTTTGATAATCATCAATCATATGAGTCATGATAGACATAACCAAACGCCATAACACATAATTGTGCAGAACCCTTTCGTCTGTTTCCTTTAGTATCTTACCCATATCCACCAAATAAGGCATGGCATAACTAACTAATTCCTCATTATCTTTTAAAATTATCTCTTTACCCAAAGCGGTCTGTAAAAATAAATTCCAATTGATTTGCGGCACTTCCTCTTGTAATTCCTTTAAGCTGATTTTTCTATAGATGGCACTGGTATCATGACGATCGGCTTCTGGCAAAGTGGCATTCACTAATTTCACCTCCAATTGCAAAACATCATTTAGTTCTTCGGCTGCAGTTTTAGGATTGGCACCCATTAGAATGGCTGTTTGGGTCATATAACGATGATAGGCTTTCAGATCATGCTCACTGCTAGACTTAAGATAATAATCCCGCGAAGGCAATGCTAAGGGAAATTGATCGATTTGTAAAATATGTATCGAAGAATTTTTATCATCTGCTCCCACATAGAGCTCAACTAGTACGGGTTCGCCATATGTGCCTCTTAGAGTGCCTATTAGTTCTTCAATTGTCATATTGGGTGATTTCCAATCGGGATCTATGACCGGCCAGCCACCCAAAGATTTTAGAACTTTCTTAAGACGGCCCTCGCCGATTTTGCGTATTTGGGCTGTTAGGGAGAGAGAGAATTAGAATTAGTTTAAGATAAGTTCCAATTTCAGAAAGTCAAAGTAAAACTAAAAAGTAAATTGGCATTCGAAAACGATTCCATTGTGGTTTCGATCCACTTATAGTTTAATTTATCTTAACATTATTAATTTACTTACGTATATCTATGCAACTTTTGTAAAACATTTTCGCCTTAATCGTGGCCTGGTTATCCATGTCATTAATGGGTTCTTCTAAAACACCTTTCAGTAAAACTTGTTGTTGGTCGGCCAGAACCTAAAATGCATATTATGTTTAATACTTGCGCTAAGAAGGTGAGTCTTTTGTTTTGCTTTGTTTTGCTCACCTCAAAAGTACTTATTGAACTACGATCTTCTGGTATTATGTGTACTTTATTCCATGTACCACAGGCATATTGAAAGAAATTTTCGCAGGGATTGGCGGAAGTATCCATTGCCGAAAGTAAATAGGCCGCTGAAAAAATAAATAAAATATTCCGGTTTCTCAATGTATTTATGGAATTCTAGACGTATTTATATGTTTATAGAAATATATTAGTTAGTTAGTTAGTAATAGTTAGTTAGTTAGTTAGTTAGTTAGTTAGTTAGTTAGTTAGTTAGTTAGTTAGTTAGTTAGTTAGTTAGTTAGTTAGTTAGTTAGTTAGTTAGTAGTTAGTTAGTTAGTTAGTTAGTTAGTTAGTTAGTTAGTTAGTTAGTTAGTTAGTCTTAGTTAGTTAGTTAGTTAGTTAGTAGTTAGTTAGTTAGTAGTAGTTAGTTAGTTAGTTAGTTAGTTAGTTAGTTAGTTAGTTAGTTAGTTAGTTAGTAGTTAGTTAGTTAGTTAGTTAGTTAGTTAGTTAGTTAGTTAGTTAGTTAGTTAGTTAGTTAGTTAGTTAGTTAGTTAGTTAGTTAGTTAGTTAGTTAGTTAGTTAGTTAGTAGTTAGTTAGTTAGTAGTTAGTTAGTTAGTTAAGTTAGTTAGTTAGTTAGTTAGTTAGTTAGTTAGTTAGTTAGTTAGTTAGTTAGTTAGTTAGTTAGTTAGTTAGTTAGTTAGTTAGTTAGTTAGTTAGTTAGTTAGTTAGTTAGTTAGTTAGTAGTTAGTTAGTTAGTTAGTTAGTTAGTTAGTTAGTTAGTAGTTAGTTAGTTAGTTAGTTAGTTAGTTAGTTAGTTAGTTAGTTAGTTAGTTAGTTAGTTAGTTAGTTAGTTAGTTAGTTAGTTAGTTAGTTAGTTAGTTAGTTAGTTAGTTAGTTAGTTAGTTAGTTAGTTAGTTAGTTAGTTAGTTAGTTAGTTAGTAGTTAGTTAGTTAGTTAGTAGTTAGTTAGTTAGTTAGTTAGTTAGTTAGTTAGTTAGTTAGTTAGTTAGTTAGTTAGTTAGTTAGTTAGTTAGTAGTTAGTTAGTTAGTTAGTTAGTTAGTTAGTTAGTTAGTTAGTTAGTTAGTTAGTTAGTTAGTTAGTTAGTTAGTTAGTTAGTAGTTAGTTAGTGTTAGTTAGTTAGTTAGTTAGTTAGTTAGTTAGTTAGTTAGTTAGTTAGTAGTTAGTTAGTTAGTTAGTTAGTTAGTTAGTTAGTTAGTTAGTTAGTTAGTTAGTTAGTTAGTTAGTTAGTTAGTTAGTAGTTAGTTAGTTAGTTAGTTAGTTAGTTAGTAGTTAGTTAGTTAGTAGTTAGTTAGTTAGTTAGTTAGTTAGTTAGTTAGTTAGTTAGTTAGTTAGTTAGTAGTAGTTAGTTAGTTAGTTAGTTAGTTAGTAGTTAGTTAGTTAGTAGTTAGTTAGTTAGTTAGTTAGTTAGTTAGTTAGTTAGTTAGTTAGTTAGTTAGTTAGTAGTTAGTTAGTTAGTTAGTTAGTTAGTAGTTAGTTAGTTAGTAGTTAGTTAGTTAGTTAGTTAGTTAGTTAGTTAGTTAGTTAGTTAGTTAGTTAGTTAGTTAGTTAGTTAGTTAGTTAGTAGTTAGTTAGTTAGTTAGTTAGTTAGTTAGTTAGTTAGTTAGTTAGTTAGTTAGTTAGTTAGTTAGTTAGTAGTTAGTTAGTTAGTTAGTTAGTTAGTTAGTTAGTTAGTTAGTTAGTTAGTTAGTTAGTTAGTTAGTTAGTTAGTTAGTTAGTTAGTTAGTTAGTTAGTTAGTTAGTTAGTTAGTTAGTTAGTTAGTTAGTTAGTTAGTTAGTTAGTTAGTTAGTTAGTTAGTTAGTTAGTTAGTTAGTTAGTTAGTTAGTTAGTTAGTTAGTTAGTTAGTTAGTTAGTTAGTTAGTTAGTTAGTTAGTTAGTTAGTTAGTTAGTTAGTAGTTAGTTAGTTAGTAGTTAGTTAGTTAGTAGTTAGTTAGTTAGTTAGTTAGTTAGTAGTTAGTTAGTTAGTTAGTTAGTTAGTTAGTTAGTTAGTTAGTTAGTTAGTTAGTTAGTTAGTTAGTTAGTTAGTTAGTTAGTTAGTTAGTTAGTTAGTTAGTTAGTTAGTTAGTTAGTTAGTTAGTTAGTTAGTAGTTAGTTAGTTAGTTAGTAGTTAGTTAGTTAGTTAGTTAGTTAGTTAGTTAGTTAGTTAGTTAGTTAGTTAGTTAGTTAGTTAGTTAGTTAGTTAGTAGTTAGTTAGTTAGTTAGTTAGTTAGTTAGTTAGTTAGTAGTTAGTTAGTTAGTTAGTTAGTTAGTTAGTTAGTTAGTTAGTAGTTAGTTAGTTAGTTAGTTAGTTAGTTAGTTAGTTAGTTAGTTAGTTAGTTAGTTAGTTAGTTAGTTAGTTAGTTAGTAGTAGTTAGTTAGTTAGTTAGTTAGTTAGTTAGTTAGTTAGTTAGTTAGTTAGTTAGTTAGTTAGTTAGTTAGTTAGTTAGTTAGTTAGTTAGTTAGTAGTTAGTTAGTTAGTAGTTAGTTAGTTAGTTAGTTAGTTAGTTAGTTAGTTAGTTAGTTAGTTAGTTAGTTAGTTAGTTAGTTAGTTAGTAGTTAGTTAGTTAGTTAGTTAGTAGTTAGTTAGTTAGTTAGTTAGTTAGTTAGTAGTTAGTTAGTTAGTTAGTTAGTTAGTTAGTTAGTTAGTTAGTTAGTTAGTTAGTTAGTTAGTTAGTTAGTTAGTTAGTTAGTTAGTTAGTTAGTTAGTTAGTTAGTTAGTTAGTTAAATAATTTCTTAATTTTAAATTTTAAAAC